CGAGGTTGATGGACCACTGGCCATCAGGGTGAGCTGACCCTTAGCAGTTGGGCTGCTATCTTGGGACTCAGTGCCTCAATCCTCCAGTCCCGTGCGTGATTGGTCTTTCTGGTGTGACCAGCCCCATTCTGAGACATCTTGTTAGCACAAATCATCTCAGGTCCACCATGAATCACAGAGACTCCTGTCACTCCAGAAGCTCCAGGGATGTAGAGGGACTCTCCCTGGAATTTGGACCAGGGCTGGCCCAGCTCCTTGTCTTACGGCATCACTGGTTCTGATGCTTTCACAGTTGGAGGACTGCTGACCCACCAGCTGGTCTGCTCTCGTTCCGTCTGGTCTGTGGCAGGCCATGTGACATCATTTAAAAGTGTTGATGATCTTAAAAAGTGACTTTGAGATCTACAACACAGGCAGCGGGATGGAAAGATTGCTTCCTACTGAGGAGGTCAGAGGGTCTAGTAGTATAGTGGATTGTTGTGTGCATTCATGGTGGAGGGAGGTGTTGTCTTTGAGATGAAGGTCAGGAGAATGAAGATGGAGATTTCCCTGACCAGATTTGTGGCACCTGTGCATTTTGTCCACGCTTGAGAGCTCCTGTATTAGAACATGGTATTTAGATGTGAAGGGATTCCCCCTGTTCAGTCATTCTGCTTCTATCGATCCATGAGAGTTTGGGCTCTGGAGGCCTTCAGATATCCTCTTGGTATTATAGCCAGACACTGGGTAATCAGCAACATTTTATTCATACTGAGCCCTTCAGTTTAATTTTGAGGTTTGAGCCAAAGGTACAGCCTGCTCCAGAGGCCTTTGTAAAGTCTTTAGATGTGATCCATTGGACTTTCTTTTCTCTTTTTTCTTTTCTAACCGACCCCCCCCTGCAAATATTTATTTATTTATTTTAGAGAGAGAGCATGCGAGCAAGCGGGGGAAGGGGCAAAGGGAGAGATAGAGCCCTCAGGCAGACTCTGTGCTGAGTGTGGAGCCCATTGTGACGCTGGATCTTGGGATCTGAGCTGAAATCAAGAGTCAGCTGCCCCCCCCCCCCCGCCCCAACTGAGCCACCCAGGGGCCCTCCATTGGGACTTCCTGGTAAATTCTAGGAGATAAATTTCCAGTAAACCTAGGAAGGTTCTCAGTTGTACTCCAGTGGGTTTCTTTCTAGATTTACAAAGTGAAACCACTGATTCTTTTTCTCTCTTAACTTTTTATTGTGAAAAATTCCAAGCATACAGAAGAGTTGAAATAGGCAGTTGAACATTTGTATGTTCCCCATCTAGATTTAGGAATTACAAATATTTTGCTTTTTAATTTAAAAATACATTTTTTTAAAGATTTATTTATTTATTTGACAGAGATCACAAGTAGTCAGAGAGGCAGGCAGAGAGAGAGGAGGAAACAGGCTCCCTGCTGAGCAGAGAGCCCGATGCGGGGCTCCATCCCAGGACCTTGGGATCATGACCTGAGCTGAAGGCAGAGGCTTTAGCCCTCTGAGCCACCCAGGCGCCCCTTGCTTTTTAATTAAAAAAAAAATTAATTTTTAATTTTTAAAAATATTTTATTTTTTTATTTGACAGAGCACAAGCAGGGGGACTGGCAGGCAGAGGGAGAAGCAGGCTCCCCACTGAGCAGGGAGCCTGATGCGGGGCTTGATCCCAGGACTCTGGCATCATGACCTGAGCCGAAGGCAGATGTTTAACCGACTGAGCCACCCAGGTGCCCCATTTACTGTTTTTTTTAAATCCATTTTAAAAATTCACATCTTAGAAAATAAGTCACAGACCTTTGAGCACTTACAGTAAACCTGTGTTGTCACCAGGTCCAAACTTGCCTTTTCTCCTCCCTCTGCTCTTTTTTACCCCAGACTTTTTTTTAAATGAGATTTTATTTATTCATTTTAGAGTATGCATGTGCACGTGCACAGGTGAGTGGGGGCATCGGGTGGGGGAATATGAGAGGATCCCAGGCAGGCTCCACACCCAGCTCAGAGCCAGACAGGGACTTGACTCATGACCCAGAGATCATGACCTAAGCTGAAACTGAGTTAGACAGCTCAACCCACTGAGCCACCCAGGTGCCCCTTCCTGAGACATTTTACTTTTTGTTTTTTTGTTTTGTTTCGTTTCATTTCATTTCATTTTATTATTATTATTTTTAAGATTTTATTTGTTTATTTGACAGAGAGAGATCACAAGTAGGCAGAGAGGCAGGCAGAGAGAAGAGGGGGAAGCAGGTTCCCCACAGAGCAGAGAGCCCGATGCGGGGCTGCATCCCAGGACCCCGAGACCATGACCCGAGCCAAAGGCAGAGGCTTAACCCACTGAGCCACCCAGGCGCCCCTACCCCTGAGACTTTATTTATTTATTTATTTATTTTTTCCCCCTGAGACTTTTTAAATGAAATTTTCTATGCACAGAAAATGTGGAGCTATGTGAGTTCTATCGTATACCCTCCACTGAGATCCATTCACTAATACTTCCTGCACTGAGATTTTTTTGTTTAGCCATATGAAAGCTTGCAGTAAAATGCAGGGCGTATGACACTTTTTACAGTAGCGATATTTTTCCTTATAACTATAATATTGTAATTAAGAATGTTATCTAGTATTTAGGTCCTGTTCAGATTTTAGCTGTATATTGTTTTTCATGTGTTTGTGGTCATACGTGTTCCTCCCACCCATGTCGAATCATCTGTGACAACAGCCTTCAGACAACTCTTGGCAGGCCAGGCTTCAGCTCACACTGGACGTATTTTGGCCATCAGTGCTCTCATATACTTCTCCGGTAACTGTCCAGAGGTCCAGACCTCTTTGGGACTTGACATCTTTGCTTGAACAGTTTTGGAGCTTTATTTCCTTTTTATAAATAGCACTGTTTGATGATAACAGCTGGCTGCAAATACTTTGATATGTAATTCTGTTTTGTGTTTATTACTTCTTTTATATCTGAAACGTGGAAGCACTCATTTCTTACGCTTTCTTGAAATAGGATATAGTGGCATTGAGTTTTGTGGTGCCCTCTTCCTTTATGGAAACAGTCTCTGAGTTTACGGTTTGCGTAGGACATTCTCTCAGCAGTGCTCCTTGCCATCTGCCTGTCCTGTGCGGGCTGCTGTAGCTTTCGTGTTGCGGTGTGGTCCCTGTATGTGCCTCCTGGTGGCCGTGAGGCCTGGAGCAGCCGCATGGGCTGCAGCGTGTGACGCACAGCGTGTGCTTTCGGACAGTGTTTTTCTGTGACACTGTTTGTGAGAATCTTGTCCCCTTTAAGATTATTATGGAAGGAGAATTTCAAGTTTGAATATTAAATTAATGACACATTTTATTTTATTTTTTTTTAAAGATTTTATTTATTTATTTGTCAGAGAGAGAGGGAGAGAGAGCAAGCACAGGCAGACAGAATGGCAGGCAGAGGCAGAGGGAGAAGCAGGCTCCCTGATGAGCAAGGAGCCCGATGTGGGACTTGATCCCAGGACGCTGGGATCATGACCTGAGCCGAAGGCAGCTGCTTAACCAACTGAGCCACCCAGGCGTCCCTAATGACACATTTTAAAGATTGTTTAGCGGAATTGCAAGCCTGGATAGTTGGCGGTGTTGAGTGAAGATGGATTTAGCAAAGGAAAATCCAGGATCTTCCTCACCTTTTTATTGTGGAAAACTTCAAATTGAAACAAGAGTTCCAAGAGTAACATTAGGACGCCCCTCACTTAGATGTGAGAATTAGTAGTTTGCAGTTTTCGTGTGTGTATGTATTTCATTCTCTTTCCTGAACCATTTGAAATTTACTTGCGGGCCTTCTGGCAGTCTGCCTCTAGAAATGTCCGTGTTTCCCGAGAACGACCATATTCGGGTGTACCACCTCAGCTTCACAAGTGTGTGTGAGGGGCCAGCAGTAAGGCCACAGTGTCCTTGAATTTCTCCGCTCGTCTTGAGTGTTGCGTAGCTTCCTCCCAAGACGGCGCACTCGGGGCTCCTGTAGTCTCCGGCTGGAGCCGTACATGGATGTCCGCGGAGTGGGGCCTGTTAGCCTTGTGGATACTTGCATGTGGCTCCCGTGTCACCTGTGTTCACTGTAAGCTGGGGATGAGGTCCAGAGGCCTGATGGCGGCGTTTCTGGCAATGCTGTGTGAGGGATGGCGCCCCGGGGGCTGGCATGTGTGGCCCTTTCACCTTCACGTCCATTGGGCCTCCAAACCTAGGACTGCCTTTTTATGGCCCATGACAGCATTTTCTGTACTACTTGAAAAAAACTTTTATAATTCCCTATTCTCCTAGGAATAAGATTTTACAATGTCAACATTTAAAATTTAAAAAAAAAAATTATCTTTGCTTTGTCTTGTTGACAGAAAACCACTTAATAGAGTAACTTAAAGGTATGTTTAAAAAGGTTTTTTTTTTTTTTTTTTTTTTTCCTTTTTTGGAACAAATTAAGTTTTCCTCTTTTCGGAAGAAAGAGTGAGATTTGTTCTGGGAAGTTTCCAGAGCATTCCATGGCAGCTGCGGGAAGAGCAACGCCAGGCGCCCGTCAGCACTGAGGCGCCCCCTCTCTGGACTCACAGGGTCAGGATGCGATTAGGCAGTTGGAGTATCAGCTGCATCTGGAACAGCGCATTTCTGGATTATTCCGAAAGATGGGGGCCGCCTTCCCGCACCGCACCTCTTCCTTCGGTGTGGGCCTGGCGCTGTGTTCAAGTAGAGCAGGTGTGACCCGTTCGTCCCGGCGACCTGCTCTGACCTGTGTGCAGCGGGAAGCAGCGCCGGGAGGCCGGGTTCTTCGTGTTTAGTTCATGAGGCCGGGGACGTTGGTTGTTGGGCAGAGTAACCTGTCCCTCAAGTCTTCGGGGTCGCTTTGTGCAGAGCAGCAGGATCGTGGGGTGTTCTCCCGTTGAGCACTGCTGAGAATGCTTGGGCGGGGGGGCGGGGAGCCGGTAGGGAAGGCGGGGGAGTGAGGAGGGCGCTGTCCGGGTCTGGCGACCCGAGGGTGGGCTGGCCTCTTGTGTGCAGGGCTGTCCCCCGTGCCTGCCCGCGGCGCGGACAGCCGGGTGTGCTCGCTCGAGGCGGGCTCTGAACTGGTTGACCCTGCCTCATGGCGAAAGCTGTGGACCGTAGGCAGGGAGCTGGGTCAGGGTTTTGCCACGAAGGTGACAGGACAAGAAGGGTAAGAAAATGGAGAACAGCAAGGGAATAGCTGTTGTGGTTCATGTCCAAGGAGTCAGAGCAGTTAGGAGGGCAGGTAGTCCCCAAGGAAGGCCATGGACCGTGGCACAGTGGTGCGGCCGCAGAGGGGGTAACTGTTGCCTCAGGAAAGTGTGGGGTGGGAGTGGCTGGGTGAGGGAAGGGGGACTTGGAACGAGGATTCTGGAGGTGTGGTAGTCCTTGGTGCTGAGAAGGTGCGGAGCGTGACCCTGGAGGTCAATGGTGGGGTGGGGAGCAGGTGGCTGGAAAGGAAGGTGTTGGAGACCTGAGGGCCAACTTGCGGAGGCCTTGTTGCCAAGAACGGGGGAGAATGGTGGTGCCGAGGAGGAGAGCGGCCACGGGGTCCTCAGGCAGCCGGAGGCCAAGATGTCAGGCCGTGCTGTGGCTGCGTGGCTGTGTGGGCGGCAGGGTGGGGAGCTGTATGTGCGTGGGGGGACCCTGTGGCGTTCTGCTTTCCGGAAGGCAGGACCCTGCAAGGAAGGGAGTCCGTGGATGAGTTGCTGGGGGAGCTGGCGCTGAGCAGGAGCGAGGAGTGTGGCTCCCGTGGCTGTGCGTGGACATGGGAGATGGGTGGCAGCCACATGTCAGCCTTGGCGTGGGCTCCTCAGGCCTTGGGCGGTGAGGCCGCAGAGCGCTGGGACCGCGTGGGGGAAGAGCTGTGTCCAGAAGATGCGCTGCTCCTGGCTGAGGTGTGTACTGCCCCCTCCTTTCTGAGCCTCAAATGGGGGATACTCACTGAATGCATGAATTCTAAGATTTGGTCATTTTAAGTCCATCTTCCTTGAATAATAAAAAGTTTTGTATACTTAAGAATTTTTATTGGTTAAATGGATTCTTCTCTCCCCAACAGCTTTTTAATTATTCTGTTTTGTTACATTTTTGTCTCGAGAAAATGAATTCAGCACTGCCTTCACTTCTTAACACCTGGGGTTGCGTGAAACCCGAGTATGCCCAGCCCAGAGCAGTCCTGGGCTTCAGTGAGATTTGCAGCATTTTCAAGTTTTATGAGACCGTGTCTCCACCTGTGTATTACTGCATGGACTAGAACTGGAGTCCAGTTTGGCTGAAAGGATAAACGGCTTCGCGGATCTTTTGCTCTGGTTTCCCGAAGCCTGGGAGTGCACAGGGCCCCTCACTCTGACCTGGCCCTGTTCCTTTCTCTTGCTCTGGCTGCTGACCAATGCCCAGCTGAGGTTCTGACCTGAACTTGGTTCCCGTGCTGGTACCCCTCCTCCCCTGTGGGCTGGGCCCTCGTGTCCTGTCGAGGAGATGGGCCATGGCAGGGTCCATTCTCACAGACACCCCGTTGTCCGCCCTTGACTGCTGGTGGCAGCCCCCCGAGTTGGGTGGAGGCGGCGGATGCAGTGTGGTGTTCTGTGCGGCCTCTGGGAGGCGCTGCTGCCCTTGGCGCCCAGGTCTGAGGAACTAAGGCTAATGGCTTCTGGGCAAAGCATTTCAGAGCTGACATCGTGTTTAAAATCTTACGTAAGGGTACTTTTGGTCTTGTGATGTTCTAGTAACAAACTGTTACTTCCCTGTCTTGCAGAGTCCTTATGAGTCCACATGTTTCTGCTGAACTTGTAACAGAGGCACTTGGATGATGGATTAATAGGAACATTGAGATTCTGTGAAAAGTTTGAAATCGGAGAGTATTCAATTTTCACCCTAGTCCAGCAGCTGTGCTGCTCACTTAAATACAGATGAATGAAGACCCCATTCGGGAAGACCCCTGGCCAGCGGTCCAGAGCGGATGCAGGTAGGCTGTGCGGTCCTGGCGCTCTGTAGTGAGTGTGAAACATTGCGGAAAGCCAGGAGTACCTTCGCGTAGTTCCCCTGGTTTGCTGTTCTTAAAGCCCTGTGCTTTCCATTACTCCGGACATATACATGGGGAAAACAGCTTCCTTCTTTGAAAGACAGGGATCATGTTCGTATTTTTCCTGTGGTCTTTCACCTTCTAACAGGTTACAGCTGTCCACTAAATTTAGCAAGTGAATTGTAAACACCTACCTGATGGGATTATAAGAAAGGAAAGATGGATCGTTTCTTTTCGACAGAAGTGAAAGTGAGACTAGAGCTTGTGAGATTTAGGGTATTTATAGTGATTTTTAAGGAGAAACGCTTTTTGTATGTGTATTTAAAGGAACCTTATTGGAATGAAATGGATAGAAATGAAACAAGTATTTAATAGAAATTAATTCTTACTTTTGTGGGACGCGGGCAATGCAGCTAGAACAGGTTAGTCTTACAGGCTACACTGTGAAATAAGTTCGTGGTATTTTCTTTAGGACTTCAATTCCTCTCCATTCAGGAATACATTTAAATGTTGAAAAAGTCTGTCATAACATTTTAAGATTGTTTGATAGATGAACCTGAGAGTTATGCTGGTAAAACTAGGAATTCTACAGAAATTGTTACTGTTTGATTTAGAACTATTTCTTACATTTATTAAGGTAGGGTTTGGAATTCCCTTGTAGAAGAGCCACAGGGATTAAGATGTTTAAGTACCTCTTATCTCTTTTTTATTTTAGCTCCTCTTTTGTAAAGATAATACTGATTTCACTGTTCAGCATTTGTCTTTAAGACTACTTTGGGCCAGAGATGACACTGATGCGTAAGCCGTCTGCGAGTGTCTGTCTCAGCCGCATAGACCACATAGATACGAGCACACCGCACGTCTTCTCGAGCCTTGGTTTTTATCACCTAAACGGGTGTGCTGAGGTTATTAGGAATAAATGAGCTTGCAGGTTGGGGTTCAGTTAGGTGCCTGGCACATTATACCTGTTCTACAAAAAAGCATTGTTATCGTTGATTGTACTATTTACAGTAAAATATTTAATTTTATAAATTTATTTTTATTTATTTATTTATTTTAAAAAGATTTTATTTATTTATTTGACAGACAGAGATCACAAGTAGGCAGAGAGGCAGGCAGAGAGAGAGGGGGAAGCAGGCTCTCTGCCGAGCAGGGAGCCCAATATGGAGTCCGATCCCAGGACCCCGGGATCATGACCAGAGCCGAAGGCAGAGGCTTTAACCTTACACTGAGCCACCCAGGCGCTCCTACAGTAAAATATTTTAAATTTTATTTTGTTAATTGCAAAAATTGCTGTTAAGTTTTCTTTCTTTTTTTAAAGAACTTATTGAGAGAGAGAATGAGCGGTGGGGAGGGGCAGAGGGAGAGAGAGAGAGAGAGAGAGAAGCAGACTCTCCGCTGAGTGCAGAGCAGGGAGCCTGACATTGGGTTCGAGCCCAGGATCCTGGGATCCAAGGCAGATGCTTCACTGACTGAGCTATCTAGGCCCCCCTGCTGTCAGATTTTTTTTGTTGATCAGTGAAACCTCCCACGTTTGTCATTTGAAATAGTAATTCATTTTCCAGAGTTCTTTCTATGCACACCATTCCGAATTCAGCATTCTTTTTTTTTAAAAGATTTTATTTATTTATTTGACAGAGAGAGATCACAGAGCAGGCAGAGAGGCAGGCAGAGAGGGGGAAGCAGGCTCCCCACTGAGCAGAGAGCCCGACGCGGGGCTCGATCCCAGGACCCTGAGACCATGACCCGAGCTGAAGGCAGAGGCTTAACCTACTGAGCCACCCAGGCGCCCCAGCACTCCTGTTTTCTTCATTGGTCTTGTCACCTGGAAGAATGAGCAGATTACACTGATGTGTCCCGAGGTGTGAGTACCTGAAGGGTCTAAACCAAGAGATGCTGTTGCTCTTAAGGGAGAGACTGTTAATCCCAGCCAGTCCTCTGATCTTCCATTTTCTTCTTCCTTGACATTTCTTTTTTTTCTCCCTAATGTTTCATTTTTTATTTATTTATTTATTTATTTATTTGACACACACAGAGAGAGAGAGATCACAAGCAGGCAGAGAGGCAGGCAGAGAGAGAGAGGGGGAAGCAGACAGAGGGGGAGGGGAAGCAGGCCCCCTGCCGAGCAGAGAGCCCGATATAGGGCTCGATCCGAGGACCCCGGGGATCATGACCTGAGCCGAAGGCAAGAGGCTAAACCCTCTAAGCCACCCAGGCACCCCTTCCTTGACATTCTGTAGAGCTAAAGACAAAGCTGTGCCGTGTAAGTTCTCCTTGGCCCTTGTTTGACGCGTGAACGTGAGACTGTGGCGTCGCTTGCTTCCGTCCGTAGTGTGATAATAGATCCTACTTTGGAAGGGTTGCTGATCCCCAGATCAGTACTGTTTATAAAATTGTCTTAAGTCATTCTTCCTGTTAACATAGATCAAGGCTCTGTTGCTTTTAAACTCCTCTGTCAGTTACACATGTGCCCTCTTAACAAATAAAGAAAATTCACCCAAAAGGGTTTCTTTTTCTCCTGCAGCGAGAAGCCTGGGTGGGTTGGTGCAGCAGAGCTCAGCTGGGCTTGGAGAGAAAGCCCAGGGACTTTTCTCCTCTTCTCTGGGCCTCTGGGGAGCTGGACTGACATGACAGCATCCCCAGAGCGAGTGGCCCAGAGAAACAGGCACAACTGCGAGGCTCCCGTGGCAGAGCTCGGAGCTTTGGGAGTCACACCGGCCAGCTCATGCTGTGTTGCCAGCCCAGGTTCAAGGGAGGGAGTGTGTACTATGCTCGATTGGGAGGAGGGTGAGGAATTGGAGCCCTGCCTTAAAAGTGCCACAGTGGTAAACAGATCACTGGGCACTCCCTAGTCCTGGGCTCTGTGTTCGACATAGAGCATGGGTGATCGGTGAGGACTTGGAGATGCAGTGCTTGCTCGCTCTTCATATATCTGGTCCCACATGTTAGGAATTTCTATTTTAAAATAACTTAGGTTTTTCCATCTAATTATGTTGGAATTAAATTGGTCACTAAAATAGTAATTTATATACACCTAATGACGGGTGGCAAGTCCTATTTTGTGGCACAACATTTTTCATGTGTTTTTTCCTAGAGTTAGCCTCCGTTTTTACTGGTCTATTCAAGATTGCAGTTTTTCCCCTTTTATGACATACTTTAATGATACAGATAGGTACAGGGAGTAGTAATGATGCATACCCATGTGCCTAACATTCAAATTTAGCAACTATTTTTGCTGTGTTTCATTCAGATAATTTTAAAACCTTGATTTCATTTTTATCAAATTAATAAAAAATTATTGTTGAAAATGTCAAGTAGTACCGAAGACTTAGGACAGAAAGCAGGCACTCCGTCCCTTCTGACGTTTACCTTCACTGTTACAAGTAATATGCGTAGACACATTGCTCCTGGATCTGACAGTGCTGAACCAAGGAAGGCAGTGTGATAACTTTCTTCTTCTTCTTCTTTTTTTTTTTTTTTTGGCATTTTTTTTTTTCCTGGAGTATAGTGATTTCTTAATTTTTTTTTTAAGATTTTATTTATTTATTTGACAGAGATCACAAGTAGGCAGAGAGGCAGAGAGAGGGGAAAGCAGGCTTCCTGATGAGCAGAGAGCCCGATGCGGTGCTTGATCCCAGGACCCTGGGATCATGACCTGAGCCGAAGGCAGAGACTTTAACCCACTGAGCCACCCAGGCGCCCCTCTTAATTTTTTTTTCTATTTGCTTAAATTTCTCTGCAGCTTGAAGTCTCTTCAACGGTCCCCACAGCGCTATAGCACTGTCACTGCAGCACGCCATGTAGCCGACACCACGTAGCCCATCCGTCCTGGCTCCTTCGGACTCTTGTAGTGCTTTCAGCCCTGTTCTTTGAGCTGCGTCCTATAGCCCCATGGCCATGCTGTCCTCCTTGGAACTCCTGTTTTCTCTCTAGCTGGATTCTTCTCGTTTCTGGTTGCCATGCCCTCCCTGTTTTCCATGTGTACTCTCACCTTGGAAAAACCTGTACAGCGTCAGGAAGCTTCCAGAGCAGTGAATGAGTTGATGGTTAAAGTGAAAAGTGGAGGGATGCTTGGGTGGCTCAGTCAGTTAAGCGTCTGCCTTCAGCTCAGGTCATGATCCCGGGGTCCTGGAATTGAGTTTTGCATCAGGTTCCTTGCTTAGTAGGGAGTCTGCTTCTCCCTCTGCCACTGCCCCTCTCCCCCGGAGTCTCCGCCCCTGCCACTCATGCTTTCTCTAAAGTATATAAATAAAAATCTTTGAAGTGACAAGTGGAATGTGTAGTCCGTCATACTCTCTACTTCTCTGCCCGTTTGAAATTGAGGTCTCTAATACAGTTTTCCTAAAGTGCACCTAGGTGCACCAGTGGTGCCTGGTGGACCAGTATTGGGGCCTCCAAGTGTCTGGGTTAATGGGTATTTTCTCTAGAGATGGGTTTTCAGATTTCCTACCTGTAGGAGGAGAGTATTAATCAACTCTCAGAATTCCTGATTTCTCCCTTAAAGTTACAGTCCTGTACCTTTATGTCTGTTGAAGCCTCGCCACCAGAGGCCGCTTCTGATCACACGAAAGTGGGCTTAGCAGATTTGCTCAGCCTCAGGGACAGGGAGCTCCTGAAGAGGCAGAGCTGTTCACAGGGGGAGTGAGCGAGTTGGTAGGGCTGGGGGCACTGAGTGTGGCGTGGATGAGATTGGTGAGGATTCTTGGCCTGAATGAGCCGCTGGAACAGACAGGGTCTTTATCTTTGGAAAATCTGAGCCCACCCAAAATTAACAGCTGGTAGAAGGCATGTCTGGGAGCTGTTGCAGGTTGGGTTCTAGACCACCACGATAATGTGAATATTGCAGTGAAATGAGTCAGATGAATGTCTTGGTTTCCCAGTGTGTGTTAAGAGTTATGTTTACACTCTGCTGCAGTCTGCCTACTGTGTGCAGTAGATTATGT